ACACACCACTTCTCTCCTTTAATCAAGCTTCTGGCACAGCACTTATTTTATCACCATGGCCCCACACACACACAGAGACACACACACACAGAGGAGCGGGTCTGTCCAGAGATGTTGAGTTAGCAGGATGTCACAAAGCGCGCAGTGTCTCATGTTATGCCCGCTGACGTAACACAAAGTCTAAAGGCTTAAAATAGACCCCTATGTTCACGTTAATGCTGTCAACTTAAAGCTACAGTGCGGAACTTTCTGGAGATAGTACGTCTCCTCCGGGATTCCTTGCAAAAATAAAGTTAAAACCATACTTCTGAACATTTTCTGAAGATTATTGTAGCCAAAAGAACAACATTTCCTCTTACAAACTAAATAAGTGTCAGGTTTGTGGAGATGCAAGCCCGCTCACAATCAGGACTTATGTTTTTCTGTGCAATAAACACAACCAAAAAAGAAAAAAAAAAACATGCTATTTGGCTAAAAGGTTACATACTGCGGCTTTAAATGCACATTCAAAAACTTAATATGGTGTGAAACTGAACGCTGAATAAATAAATCGAGCGTTTGTTTTTTTTGGCACAGAGTGAGTCTCTAGTTGACTACAGTCCTTTCACCTGTAACCAGTTTAATCATTGACTAATTATCAAATGTTTATCTTCTCTACCCACTCTCCCTCTCTCCTCTCCTGCTCCCTCTCTCCTCTCCCTCTCCTTCTCTCCTCTTCACTCTGCCTCTTTTTCCCTCTGCTCCCTCTTCTCTCCTCTTCTCTTCTCTCCTCTCTCTCTCCTCTTCTCTTCTCTCTTCTCTCTCTTCTCTCCTCTCTCTCTTCTCTCTCTCCTCTCTCTCTCTCTCTCTCTCTCCTCCTCTCCTCTTCTCTCCTCTCTCCTCTTCTCTCCTCTCCTCTCTCTCTCCTCTTCTCTCTCTTCTCTCCTCTCTCTCTCTCTCTCTTCTCTCCTCTTCTCTTCTCTCTCTCTCTCTCTCTCCTCTTCTCTCTCTCTCTCTCTCTCTCTCTCCTCTTCTCTCCTCTCCTCTGCTCTCTGCTCTGCTCCCTCTCTCTCTCCTCTTCTCTCCTCTCCTCTTCTCTTCTCTCTCCTCTCTTCTCTCCTCTGCTCTGCTCTGCTCTGCTCCCTCTCTCCTCTCCTCTCTCCTCTCCCCTCTCTCTCCTCTCTTCTCTCCATCCCTCTCCTCTCTCCCTCTCTCCCTCTCTCTGTGTGAAGTGGAGCATCTGTCCATCGTGTCCTGTGACCGTGAAGCTTTGTGTGGCAGCTGCTTCAGGCTCTGCTCTTAAAATCACCATTACTACTACTATATTACTACTACTACTACTACTACTACTACTACTACTACTACTACTACTACTACTGCTACTCCTACTACTACTGCAACTACTACTATAACTAGTACTACTACTACTATTGTGTCTCCTACTGATACTACTACTACTACTATGACTGCTACTATTGCTGCTCCTGTTACTACTACTACAACTACTACTACTACTACTAGTACTGTTGCTACTACTACTGCTGCAACTACTACTATAACTAGTACTACTACTACTACTGTGTCTCCTACTGCCTACTACTGCAACTACTGATACTACTACTACTATGACTGCTACTGCTGCTACTACTGCTACTACTGAAACTTCTGATACTGCTACAACTTCTACTACTACGACTACTACTACTGTTGTTACTACTACTGCTTTAACTACTACTATAACTAGTACTATTACCACAAGATCATTCTAAAGCTATCAGTGTTACTACTTTACTACATTACAACAACTACAACTACAACAACTACTACTACTACTACTACTACTACTACTGCCCTTTGGGATTAATAAAGTTATTGATTGATTGCTACTACTACTGCTGCTACTACTAAAACTATCACTAATACTAAGACTGCTTCTGCCACTACCACTACTACTACTTCTGCTACTACTACTACTACTACTACGATTACTACTACTATGTCTGCTACTGCTTTGACTTTTAAATACTTTTGACAACTCTAATCTTCATATTTGTTTAACTATAGCTGTTTTAAGCCAGATTTTTGGCCCAGTACAGTGTAAAAATCAAATTACAGTGTTTTTACTACTACTACTACTATTACTGCTGCTCCTATTACTACTGCTACTAATACTAATACTTTTGACAACCCTAATTCGTATATTAGGTGTTTCAAACCTGCTTTTTTCCGCAGTACAGTGTAAAAATCCGCGCAGTGAGGAGATTAGCCGGTGGAGATTTCCGTGTCCACACAGGGGCGTCTTTAGTTACAGCTGCCCGGCCCCAGGCATCTGATAGGACGCCCCCGGAGACCACGACCGACGCTGCCTGAAATATAAGAACAGGAGGAGCAGAGGAGACGGGCACAGGCACACTCATCCAACAATCACTGCGCTGTTAAAGATGCACCGTGGCACCTGCTCGTCTCCGCGGCGATGTCATTTCCTCACCTGGAATGTTCAGCGGTCTGACATTCAATTACAGGCGTTTTTATTGCGCAAAAAACGCAAACAATGGCAGTGCAGAGACGGGATCCAACAGACACGCTCACACACTCGCTTAAGAATCACCGGAGTGTTAAAGCTTCACCGTGTAACTTTTCTTGTGCTGGGAGATGCCATCGTTTTGCCTGGAGGAATGACAATAAACATACTGTCTTAGAGTCTTTCAATTACAGTGTTTATAATGGTTGAAAATATGTTGTGTAGGGTTGCCTCTCCACAGATCTGACCCGTAACTTGGCCTGGTTAGATCACCTGAGATAGAGGAGTTAAATGCCATATTGTGGAACCTTTAAGGCAAAGTAGTGATATCGCCATGGAGACAAGAAGCTGGCGGACCCTTCTGTAAAGTTAATACATATTAGAGGAAAAAGAGAGAGTAGATAGGCCCAGAAGACCTTACTGTGAGCAGGGTCGCCTCTCCACAGATCTGACCTGTAACCTGTTATATCACCTGCTTGACGCCATAGCGATAGATGAGTTAAATGCCTAACTGTGGAACCATGAAGGCAAAGCAATGACATCTCCATGGAGACAAGAAGGTGGTAAACCCTCCATAAAGTTAGTACATAGTGGAGGAACAGGAGAGCGGTGAGCAGTGTCGCCTCTTCACAGATCTGACCTGTAACTTGTTCTGGTTATATCACCTGCTTGACTCCATAGCGAGTTAAATGCCATACTGTGGAACCTTTAAGACAAAGCAGTGACATCTCCATGGAGACAAGAAGGTGGTGGACCCTCCTGTAAAGCTGATACATAGTAAGCAACAGGCAAAAAAAACCTTACTGTGAGCAAGGTCGCCTCTCCACAGATCTGACCTGTGATTTGTCCTACCTGCTTGACTCCATAGAGACAGATGAGTTAAATGCAATACTGTGGAACCATTCGGCAAAGCATTGGCATCTCCATGGAGACGAGAAGAAGGTGGAGGACCCTAAAAGTAGTGGAAGAACAGGACACACTCGCACTCAACTAACTCTAACTAACAGATGCACTGTGGCTACGTTTATATGACGACGGTCTGAACAGGAGACGCACAAGTGGCGTCACGTCCTCACTTTTTATTCCACGTTCAGGATCAAATCTGCGAGGATACGGTGACGCAAAAATGTGTGGAATTCAACTGGGTATGCGTGCTAGGCGGCGAGGTGATGACTCTAGGTGCTGGTGTATGTGACATAAACGTGTACGCAACGTGAGCAGAGTTTTGCGTCTTGGGCAGTGTAGACGGAAACGCTACAGCGGAACGTATTCAACTTTTTCACTCTGCAGGGTGGTTTCAGATTTTTGCATTTTTAAGCCCCAAAAAGACGTCACCATCTAAAGGAAAGGCAATTCCGATAAAATATTTTGTTGTTTTTACCCGCATTCACCTGCCCTCAGTCACCTGCTTGTCTCCATGGAGATTTCTTTGTCTGGAAAGTTCAAAAATACATTCTTGCTGTGAACGGACTCACCACGACACAGATCTGACCTGTAACTTCGTATGGTGAGATTGGAGGAAATTGCCCTATTGTCTGTCTTTATCCCGAGTTAAAAATACAAATTGTAAATTTGGACACAGGAAGAGTCAGTAATGATCGAACCAAAAGTAATCCAAATCTACCTTTATAACTACCTTGAAGGAAATGATATGCCTAAATTTAGAAGTTTCTGATATGTATTTAATAATTCAGTCTTTCTTATCATAGTTTCACCTTTTCAGCTCACGTGTCCGATCTGAATACGGCGTAATAGTGTGTTGAATAAAGGACATAATGTCCAAAGTCAACACCCAAAGTAAACGTGGTGTGTGTCTATTTTTAACCTGGCTCTGACATGAGGCAGATGGTCAGACAGGTACATGAGGCAAAAGTTCACCGGGGCATCTGATGTAATGATCCGATTCTGGATGAATTGTCCAACCTGACAAATATCTTCTTTTTAATGGGGAGGAGTGCGCTGAAAAGGTCATTTGGTTAAAAAAAAAAAGCATGAAAGCAAAGACATACTTTACATTGAAAGGAATAACTTACCAAAATGTCATAGAATAGAAATGTAAACCTCTTAATTGTGCAATATTAAAGCCACACTACAGAATTTTTAAGCCATATAATACACTTTTTTTTCATTTCAGTTGAGTTTTGGTTGCACTAAAAACACAAAACGTAAATCATGTGTCCTTGCTCTTGAGCGAGCTTGTCGACTCTCCATGGAAATGCTGTTCCTTTGGCTATAATTTTCCATAGTACAACAACAACAACAAAAATTTAATTAAAAAAAAGTCCTCAAAATTCCATACTATACCTTTATATATACTATACTTAGTTATTTTTTTTTCTTGTTGTTTTATCTAGTTCTCTGTGCGTTGTATTTTAGACCTTTCAGCTTAGATACTATAATATTGCAACATGTTTCTATTTCATTTATATTGTTTCATTGCTTGTATTTTTCATGCTTATTGTATTAACTCAGTCTTTTATCGTTTTTTTTGTTTCTTCAGGACAAGAAGAAGTACCTCGACATCATCCACAGTTACATGGACGTTCACGCCACGGTGCACGGGACCAGCACCATCCACCTGCCCAGTTACGTGAAAAACCACGGCATCCTGAGCGGGAGGGACCTGCAGTTTCTACTACGAGAGACTAAGGTGAGATACGCACCAAAACAACTCCTGTATAGCCATTTTATTAAATTTTTTAAGTACTACAAGAAACTAAGGTGAGATAGGTGCCAAAAACACCTTTTATAGTCATTTAGTTTTTTGTTTTTTTTTACATCGATGGGAAACTAAGGTGAGATATGCACAAAAACAACTTCTATTATCGTCATTTTATTTAATTTAGTATTTTTTTTTTTAAATATTACAAGAAACTAAGGTGAGATAGGCACCAAAAACACTTCTTATAGTAATTTAATTTTAAACTTTTTTTAACTTCTACAAGAAACTAAGGTGAGATATGCACCAAAACAACTCCTATTATACTAATTTTATTAAATTTTTATTATTTTTTAACTACTACAAGAAACTAAGGTGAGATAGACACCAAAAACACCTCGTATAGTAATTTATTTATTTATTTATTCATTTATTTATGTATTTATTTATTTTTAACTACTATGAAAGATTAAGATGAGACCAAAACAACTCATACATACTATATTTTATTTTTTTAACTACTACTAAGGTGAACTATGAATCAGAAAGTAGTAATGAAGAATTAGTGGTGTGGTTAGGCCTGTTATGATAAATTACTATATTCACTTATTTTTCAGTATATGAAAGATGGAACAATTATTTTAGGGGTCAGTGTTTATTGTTGGTACCTTTTCTTAGTAGATATAGTTGTAGTTTTCTGTACTGCAATTCCTTTTCAATGGAATAGACCCTATTCACACTTACCGAAAGACGTTTGGAAACATGTGACTGATGACTTTCGGTGTAGTTCCCGACATTGGGCATGTGATAAAACCCTGGATTCAGCAGCAGCGTCTTCACAACCTGACAAAGCTTTCCAAGGGGGACACGGCTCTAATTGTGTCTTTTTTTAGACAAATTATAATACACAAATTAATAGGCAAGTTATTAAAGGAAAAAAAGAAAAAATACAATGTCATTTAGGTGAAGAAAACCAGGCCATTTTCTCAGTTTTTCCCAGATTTTGCCAACAGAGCCCAAAGGAAATCAAGAAGTCACCCGCATGTTTCCAGACGTTTTCCGGTTGGTTCTGGTCCAAACGTCCATAGGGTTGAATACATATCTAGATAAATTAAAAAAATGTATTTGAGTAGATCTAACTTGACAAGTAAAATTCTCTACCAATGGAATAAGCGTGTTTTTCTTAAGTCAAGCAACGTTCGATTTTGTTTCTCCAAGGCTCAGAGGTTCTTTATTTGTCATTCAAGCGTGCGAGTGAAGGAAATGACATGACAGAATGAAATTTATTCCTCGAGGCCAAGTGATAAGAACAATAATAAATAAATAATATTACAAATAGATTAAGAGTATTAAGCAGTTCCAGTAGGCGTAGAAGTAAAACATGTGGCAAGATAAAGCAGGAGCCTAAGCAGGAAGGAAAAAAGCTGGACTTGAGCCGAGATGTTCTGGCTTTGGTTCTTTTTTTTAAGTGCAAAGAGTTATTTTTTGTACATATTTTAAGTAGAAAAAGTTCAGCTGTTTCTTGCCAAGTGAAATTTACTCAAATCATCATTAAACTTTCTTAATTCCGGTAATCTTAACTTGGCTCGTGCGCTCAGACTCCGGCTTTTTAAACGCATACATCACTAACCTAATTGTAATAGCAATACATAATTTCTCCAATATCTGGCAGCCGTAATTCGAGCACATTAAAAGCCACCGAGCTGCACAGACTGTTCTTAAAAAATGCCTTTTGTTTTTTCGTTTTACATAATGTCGGATTTAAATGTGCACGGAGAAAGGAAAGTAATGGAGCACGATAAACAAGACGCTCAGGGCTGTTTAGAATGGAGAGGATTTAATGACATTCTCTTACATCGTGTTTTACAGACGTTCACGTAAATGTTTGACTATAAAAATCGCGCTAACCCGAGGAGCTGACGTAAAGGCGCTAAATTACACAAAATTGACTCTTGTGAGCTTTAAGTCATGTTAGAATGTTGTTATCTCCTCAAAAAAAGACCTGGAGTTGTGTTTTGTTTCATTCAGACAGTTGAGTAACCTTTTTATTATTAGCCTGTCTACATCGTCTTCCACCTTGTGATGTCATGCAGTGGTAGTAGGAGTGGTAGATGTTATTGTTTGTCATGCATTTACTCAATAACATGGGTTTTTATTGACTTGAAAACTTGCATTCTTACTGTGAGTGGGCTGAAGAGAGCGGCGGTCTTTTAAAGGGACAGTCCGGAATTTCGGACATAGGGCCTCATTTCCGAGTGAGCCAGAGTGTTGGAGACGTGTGGAGACACTTTTTTAAATATTCCATCCAGTCCTTGTATTTGCAGAGGTCGCTGGTGCAAGGCTAGTGCATGTCAATGGCCATAGTTATCCTGCCACTAAAAACAGTCTTACCCACTCCACAAAACACCCGCAGCAAAACAATTGTAACACCAGACTGTCGATGTGAATGTCTGTGTTGATAGAATAATGTTTGAAGTAAAACCAACATTGCATTTGAAGGATTTAAGTCTGAGTTGTACATCCTGATAGAAAGCTCGGCAGCGGCGGACTGATATGTGAGAAAATAGTCCCTCAACATGTGACAATTCATGCGATGCAAGGTTAGATTTATTTCAAACATTATTCTATCAACACAGACATTTACATCAACAGTCTGGTGTAATAATAAATTTGATTTGTGTGTTTTGTGGAGTGGGTAAGACTGTTTTTAGTGGCAGGCTAACTATGGCCATTGACATGCACTAGCCTAGCACCAGCGACCTCTGCAAATACAAGGACTGGATTGAATATTTAAAAAAGTGTCTCCACACATCTCCAACACTCTGGCTCACAAGGAAATGAGGCCCTATGTCCAAACTTTTTGTAGAGGAGATTGGCAACTCTGCAGCTGAAATGATCCAAATGATTCTAGTGAAGGTGTGCAGAGTTTAAAAGCACACTTCCTGATTACCACGTGACATCACAACTTGGAACAGATTGCGTGTTTGTGCGTTCGACATGTGTGAATGAAACAAAACACAACTCCGGGCCTGTTTGTGACGAGGAAACATCATTATCAGAACATCATCAGAAAATGTCGTAACCTGAGCTCTGTAAATATCCATGAAACGATAACACGCATCAGCCCATGCCAGAGTTATTTATTACTGATATAAAATTCAAACTATGTCAACACGCTTTGGCCACAGTGAAATTTATGATTTTATTTGGACACACGAGCTCACACATCACATTTAATATAATAACAAAGAGTAAAAAATATAAATGGTAATAATACATTTTTATTCCAAGTAGCAAGAGACTGGTCAAATAAGACATAATTATATAAATGTGTATGTACAAGTCAAAATCAAATAGGAAAGTAAGTCATAAAAATCATAAAAAACCTGAACTCTGCTCTCATTGGTTATCGAGAGACCAGAGGATTAATTTCTCTTAGCAACTAATCCTAATAAAACAAGTCAGCGAGGGCGTGTGTAATACAACTTTGCATGAACTTTTATCACAATCTTTATCCAAATCCAATAATTTTCCTACTACCATGATGTTAATGCGGGTGTGACAACACAAAAAACGTGTTGGTCGATTCTAGTTAAACCTGTTCATTGTGCTTTTGTGTCACTGGGCAAGACACTATCTATGTTCTAAGTTGTTGTAATCTTGTTTCCTCGTCACAAACAGACCTGCAGTTGTGTTTTGTTTCATTCACACATGTTTAACACACACACCCTGCGTATTTAGGCCGAGTTCTTCTCTACGGGAAGAGCTCCACAGTCTTTTTAAAGTCCGCACGCCTTCACTAGAATCATTTGTATAATTTCAGACCTGGTATTACTGATTTCTACTAAACTAAAAGTAAAACATAACAGTTAACCTGAAAACTATCGCTTCATGACATGAGCATTTTGAGCTTTGAAGATATACACAGACTAATAATCAGTGTTGGGAGTAATGCGTAACAAATTACTGTAATGCGTTGCTTTTTGCTGTAATGTAGTAATGTGGCATTACAGGGAAAAAAATAATATTTTACTCGGTATAAATGCCAGTAATGCGTGTCACAATGCGTTTTAATCTTGATTTAAGTGGTGGGTTTTTCATTTTTCTTCATACAAATTCGCTAAAATCACAGCGATATCAGCAGCTGTGAAACGCCATCGTCACAGTTCTGAATGTCGGGACAGGGCCAGGGGTGCGCCCACGTAGACCGTCAGGTGACCACGGGCGAAAGGACCGACACAGAACTCCGCGCTGGACGGGGCTAAACGCGGCCGATGCTGGATCACGCTTTGTGGACGCTCTGCTCCATGGACTTGAGGTTCTCTCAGGGGCAGTCCTAGATTCCAAGTCCTAGTCCAAGATTAGTCCTGGTTTAGACCTGGTTTGGTCCTGATTTAGACCTGGTTTAATCCTGGTTTAGTCCTGGTTCAGTCCTGGTTCAGTCCTGGTTTAGTCCTGGTTCAGTCCTCAGTTCAGTCCTCTGTTCAGGTCTGGTTCAGTCCTGGTTTAGTCCTGGTTTAGGCCTCAGTTCAGTCCTCTGTTCAGGTCTGGTTCAGTCCTGGTTTAGTCCTGGTTCAGTCCTCAGTTCAGTCCTCTGTTCAGGTCTGGTTCAGTCCTGGTTTAGTCCTGGTTTAGGCCTCAGTTCAGTCCTCTGTTCAGGTCTGGTTCAGTCCTGGTTTAGTCCTGGTTCAGTCCTCAGTTCAGTCCTCTGTTCAGGTCTGGTTCAGTCCTGGTTTAGTCTGGTTTTAGGCCTCAGTTCAGTCCTCTGTTCAGTCTGGTTCAGTCCTGGTTTAGTCCTGGTTTAGGTCAGTTCAGTTCTCTGTTCAGTCTGGTTCAGTCCTGGTTTAGTTCTGGTTTAGGCCTCAGTTCAGTCCTCTGTTCAGTCGGTTCAGTCCTGGTTTAGTCCTGGTTTAGGCCTCAGTTCAGTCTCTTTCAGTCCTGGTTCAGTCCTGGTTTAGGCCTCAGTTCAGTCCTCTGTTCAGGTCTGGTTC